CAAGGCCTGAGGCCTATAGCGGGTAAAGGCCCTTTTACTCTCGCTGGCCTAAATTCGAAGTCCTCTGMGAATCATTTACCTATCAAGGATATGAATCCCTCTTTTGGCGCTTTCATATGCAGATACAATATGAGATGCAGATTCTAATAGTTCTTCTTTTGTAAACCAGCGATCCTCACTAGGATCCTGAAATGCAAACCTCACCTTATATTGTCGTTGTGATCTGCCTCTACGTCCAGTGTGGTAAGTACTTTCTGCAACAATTTTATCCACGTCATACTTCCCATCCATACTCAGAGGTATCGCTGATCGGCGACTTGGGAAGAACTCATTTGTTACACAAGGTAAGAGCTTGGATGCATGGAACACTGGATACGTACGTAGATGTGGAGGAATCTCAATGACATAAGAAGGACCATCCACATCTCCAATTACATCTAAAACTTGCCAAGGTCCTCTGTAGGTGGGTAGAAGCTTCGGAGAGATGTTTTCTTCAGGAGCAAACTCTTTAGACTTCACCCAAACCAAATCTCCCACAACAAATTGAGACGGACGTCTGTGTTTATTTGCCTATTCAATCATCTGATGCTGTGCTTTGAATATATTTTCGTTTACTTTCTCAATGTCTTTCTGATATTGGACTGCAAATTCACTAGTCCCTATAGGAAGCTTATGTACTTGATCCGGGTACAATTGATCAATGGGTCTACGTGGACGCCATCCCAAATGTAACTCCATAGGAGTCTTACACGTAGATAAGTGTACAGAGTTATTATAGGCACTAGCAACTTTAGGCAGATGTTCATCCCAGTCAATCTGATCGGGACGGATGTACATGCGTAAAGTTTGCTGCAAAATCTTGTTCATCTGCTCAGTCTGGCCATTAGTTTCAGGATGTCTGCCTGATGACATAGTCAACTTAGAGCCATATACATTCATCAGTTGCTGCCATTGTTCACTCGTGAACCTGGTATCTCTGTCACTCACAATAGTTAAGGGATGTCCAAAGTCTTTTACCCAATGGTTAAAAAATTCCCGAATAACCAGATCGGTCTTTGCTTCTGAAGGCAAAGCTACAAAAACAACATATTTAGTAAATCTATCCACTATGACTATTACTTGCGTTTTCCCATTTCTGCTTTTGACCTTAGTATCCATGAAATCTATAGAGACAGAGTCTCAAGGGCCGGTAGGGATAGGCAAGGGCTTAAGTTGCCCAAAGGGCGATTGCGTGGTGCTCTTGTTTCGTTGGCACACTTGGCAACCTTGCACATACGCGATTCAATCTGCTTTCATTCGAGGTCAGGTGCAGGAACGTAACAAAGTCCCATAGGTCTTCTTCCACCCAAAATGACCTTCTGTATCATGGCATGCCCCCAAGATCATACTTTTGATCTCTTCATTATTGGGTATACACAACCTATCATTCACATCCGTTCGTTGAAGCAATAGACCCTGAGTTACTTTATGATCGGGAAACTCTGCTGGCTTTTCTTGCACTAGCTTAATCATGGTTCCATAAACAGGATAAGAGGGATAC